CATGTAATTCTTAAGCTTCAAACCTCTATAAATAGGTTTCAGCCTTTTAATGAAAGGGCATTGAATCATTTCTTAAAAAAACCTTGTGAGGTGCTGCATCAGAGGACAACCTTGTCTCAAGCCTCTTTGAGCAAAAATTTTTCCTTTGGATCTACCATTAATGAAAACAGAGAAATTTGCTGAACCAATACAACCTTGGATCCATCGGCGCCATTTAACCCCAAAATCTTTCTTATCTAACACAACCGCTAAGAAGCTCCAATCCACCATATCGTAAGCCTTCTCATAGTCTAGCCTCAAGAGAAAGCCTCTCTTTTTCTTCGATTTCCACTCCCCGGTAGCCTCGTAGGCTATCAAATTGCATCTAGAATATTCCTTCCCTCCAAAAAAGTGGCTTGGGAGTCACTGATAATTGCAGGGAGGGGATTTGCGAAGTCTCTTTACAAAAACTTTAGCAATAATCTTGTAAAGGGAGGTAACCAAGCTGGAAATCACTAACCTTACTAGCCTTCATCTTCTTAGGAATAAGGCACAAGTATGTCTCATTCGTTCTAAGGTTGATAATCCCATTTTGGAAAGAATTTTGAAACACCTTGATTAAATCAGGTTTCAAGATGTTCCATGACTTATTGGACATCCCATAAGGACCCAGAAACTTGAGATTTCCCAGGTTTCTTATAGCATTGTGCACTTCCTCCTTGCTGAAAGAGGCCTCCAAAATAGAACCGAGGAACAACCTTTGTTTTGTACAAAGAGTTGAAAAAACTCAGAATCTCTTGTTCAATCTCAAGCCCGAAAGTTAGGGTCACCCCATTTTTATATTCCGAGATAAATTTCCGAGTCTTCCTTTAAGTAGCCCATCTGCTTGCACTTTTGGATCCACCTTCTCTGATCTTTGATCGTTACCTCTAACAAAGAGGCTTTAAGCTGAAGTCTATCATTTGCCATGGCAGCAGTCAAGGTGCCCTGCTCTTCTTACTTGTCAATGAGATCAATTTTGTGCAGCAAAGAAGCTTTCTTCCCTTCAAGGAAATCGAAAGTGATTCTATTCCACTCCTTTAAATGATGCTTCAGGCCTTTCAACTGCTCATGAAAGAGTAGCCAGGCCAGTCGTTAGAATTCATCCCTTTCCACCAACTCTCCACATTTGCCATGAATTGGGGTGGGACAACTACATATTTTCGAATGTAAAGGGGGACGGCCCCATTTCTGAAAGTCGAAGATGACTTGAAGGGGGAAGTGGTCTTGAGTACTTCTAGAAAGCCTGTGAAGAGAAGCCTCTTTGAAAGTATCAAGCTAGCCTCGAGAGACAAGAAAGCGATCCAACCGAGAGGAGGTGGGCTGCTCTCTAAGGTTGGACCAAGTATATATGTCGTTGTTCAACTGAACATCAATGAGTCTCAGATCTTCATTCAGGGAGTTGAAAGTTCTCATGTTTTTTGTGATTCTGCTTCCACTAGATTCATCTGCAATGCATCTGACCACGTTGAAATCGTCTCCCAAAACCAACAGTTCGAACAGAGACCTGATAAATCGGCAACCTCACGCCAAAAGAGATCCCTCCTATGAGGGTAGGGGGCCCATAAATGCCCGTAATCCAACCTTTTAGCAGAATATTGAAAGAGAGGGAAATAGAAACAAAAAACTCACCTAAAACAGAGCCTAAAACAGATTCAAGAACCTCCACAAAGTCCTCTTTCCGTATGATAAGGATGCCACCCGAGGTGCCTCCTGCATCTAAAGCTACCCAGCCCAACCTCCTGCATCTAAAGCTACCCAACCCAACCTCCTGCATCTAAAGCTACCCAACCCAACTTCCCGAGTATCATAACTTGTTTGTATTTGGGCTTAACCAAATCGAACTTAATCTATGGAGTTTAAATCCCTTCCTTTCAGTAAGTGTACACGTTGGAAGAGGCAACAACAAGGATATCTTGAAGCATTGATCTAACTTTCGCCAGGTCAACTTCCTTCACGTTAATGGCTTTTGTATTTTGCATAATTATATTCATAAACTTCAATTTTGAACGTCGGTGATCATAAAATCCACCTGTCATACCACCCTTTTTGCTAACTTGGTCACCTGTTGTAGAGTCAAAGGAAACTTGTCAAGAAACATACATAGTGAAGCTAAAATAAATTTTAAAAGATAATTTCTATACCCACCCTCCAAAGTTATACAGTCCAAACCATCAGTGCGAGCAACTTTTGTGGCCACGTCTAAATCTCGACAAATCACCGTTCTTGCAAACACCTGGGAAAATAAATAAGAATGGAAGTATTAGAAAATATGCATATCCATCAAATATTGCATGTCTCATTCACTTGTTGGCACAGGCCTAAAATGAGAAGCCAACTAGTTGAATATTTATCTTTCAGTTCTGCCCATGCATGCAAGTTTTAATACTAGGTGTAGAAATCCCAAATTCAATTAAATCTTCACTGATGCTAAAGTTGAGCAATATTCTAGCCAGTGATCAAAAGTATAAATCGTGATTAAGCTTCAGTCAATCAGAAGCTAGAGGGGAATTTTCAGACTAAATAGCACCCATTTTCAAAAACTGAAGAACCATCTGAACATTGACAATTGGACCTTTTTTCCTAAATAGCAAACATTGTTTTTAAAAAATAATAAATATTGTTTTTTTATAAGAAAAAATCATAAATATTGTAAGCGTATGGTTAAAATTATTTCTAGTCGAGGTAAGCAAACTAAAATTTTCTTTGTAATTCCCTGCACAGTGACCAAGCTCTTTAGAAATAAATAAAACCATGATATAATATAACCATTTCTCAAATTTTCCGTCATTTGGTCTTTTTTAACTTTTGTAGGAAACTTAATGCCTTAACAGCAAGGAACCTTTTCTTTGTTCTTCACTTCTCCTCGAGAAATTCCTCTCCCCTACAACTACAAGTATTCCATAATATGAATGGTTGACTCGGCAAACAAAACTCCAGATTGACATGAAATAATATTTTTGCAGCACCCTTTCAAGAAATCAAAGGCTATTCTCTGGATAAACATCAACAGGGTTTCATTTTGCTCATATGGAAAGAAAGGAACACCAGAATTTTCAAAGAAACAGAGCATTCGCTCCAACAATTGATACTCAACTATCTTTTTTGGCTTTATCTTAGTGCAAAAGTGTAAATCTTTACCGTTTGAATTCTCTCGTATCCAACTGGAGAAGTTTTTTGTAACTTCATTGGATAGGGTCTTTTGTATATTTCATGCTATCAATGAAATTTGTTTCCTATCCAAAAAAAAAAAAAAGCCAAAGAGAAAAATGGTTGACTCAGTAAAGGCAAATACTTGGATAATGGATAGTTTAAAAGGGGAGAGGGGAATCTCCAACCTACATGGTAAAGTGGAGTAGAATTTGGATCGATTTTGTAATCGTTATTGTTTTCGTTGTTTTCTTTTTTGTAGGTCGCAATAATTATAAACTTCAATGGAACATCTGTTTTCATTCAAAAAAATTGGAGTAGCTTTGCGTAGAATCTTAGTCCTGGTTGTGGAAATCAACTTATATAAGAACAAATGAAATTCAAACCAGTCTGAGAAGATACGATGGTACTTGAAACTACCTGAGAAAAAGCTGCTGCATAATTGGGAGAGAATTTTAATTTCTTCAATAACGGTATCACATCAGAACTCTGTGGATAAGTAATTTGTGGAGCTCTCACCCTGTTAAGTGGTATAAAAGTAACCCTTCCACCTTTCTGGGAATTAAGGTGTCGGATGATCTGGGTTGATATTCCATCGTTTTCCACCACCACATGAAATAAGCTGATGAGAAAATGAAGGATATCAATCAAATATTGATCTGTATCGAGATGCACAACCCACAACAAGGACACAATTTCTGCATGCCAGCTGGTCAATTCAACTAAAAAAATGTGACTTAATGCAACCTTAAAATCAGAATATAACACAAGATTATCCATGTACCTGTTTCCAGCAGTAACTTCAACAGCAGTAAAAAATTTATCATCGCAATCGAGCAACTCAATAATTGGACCATACACCCCAGAGATTTTATACTCCTTACAGATCCTCCGAACAGAATTTAGTCCCCTTCTTACGTCCTAATAATATATCAAACAGAAAATTGAAGAACTTGGATGATATGATGCAGCCTTCAACAAACCATACATTCGCCAAGCACAGTATTTTATATTGGACAAACAATCAAAAGCTCTATTGACAAAAATATATTAATGGAAATTATTGTCCTGAAACTTAGAAACTACACATTATTAGAATTTTAAGAAAAATAATAGATATGATTACGAAAGAACAAAATATGACAAAATAATAACCAGTCACTGCAGAAGATAAAACAAGAACTGATAACCAGTGGCACAGTAGAAATCATGAAGTTGAGTATCTTCCTGGCCTATTTTGGTAATTTAATATTGTGGCACTATTTAGATCTGTAGCAGAAAACCCAACATATTTAACAGCCAGCTGGAACCAGGTAGGTCTAGGAATAAGCTGCTGTAACTTTTCATTCATCTCAGAAGCTTTACAGCATATTATTGTGGAATCCGCAGCATCATTTTATTCATGTCCAGACACAGCTTTGAAAAAGTGGCTATATCGACTTTTATAAGGAACTATACACCAGAAAAGAGGGCACAAGATTCCTTCCCCATCCCCTGCAATGGGATTCGATATATGAACTACGAGCTGCTGACCTTGAAAAGCATTTACATAGGAGATTCATAGAGCTCTGAATGATCTAAGGTCTAATAAAACAATGGGACCGGATGGATTTGCCGCGGAATTCTGCAAAAAGTTTAGGAACATCCTTAAAGGACGATATCATGAGTATGTTCCAAGATTTTTTTAGAAAGGACATTATTAATGCTAGCCTCAATGAGACCTATATATTCTTAATTCCCAAAAAAGTTTATACCAAAACGGTTGGTGGTTAGTCTCATCTTGTGCTTGTACAAAATTCTAGTGAGAGTCCTATCAGAGATACTAAAACGGGTTCTTCCTTATACCATTTTCGAGCAACAATCGGATTCTGTGGAGGGTCGACAAATATTGGATAAGTCACTAATAGCCGATAAACTCATAGATGAATGGAAAAGAAAGAAGAAAGGCATCGTCGTAAAGTTTGACATAGAAAAAGCTTTTGGCAAGGTGAATTTGGACTTCTTAGAAGCAATTATAGTGGCTAAAGGATTCGGTCAACGATGGATCCAGTGGATAATAGGTTGCATATCCTCAACAATTTCTCCATTATGATCAATGGTCGCCTAGGGGAAAGATTCTTGCAACTCGAGGCCTTAGACAAGGTGAATCCCCCTCACCTTTTCTCTTCATCTTCGTTATTGATTGTTTTAGTAGATTATTGTCCCATGCCTCCTCCATGGATATGATTAAAGGTTTTGACCTCAACAATGGACCCACTAGCATTCACCATCTACCATTTGCCGATGACAATATCTTATTCTCCCATTACGAGGTAGAAAAGTTGGCCAATCTCTTTTCCCTTGTGAAGGTTTTTGAAAAAGCTTTAGGATTAAATAACAATCTTCACTTGTCTGAATTAATGGGCTGAATTTACAGATTGAGGAAGAGGAAAACACTGCCCTCAGATTTGGGTGTAAATTGACCTCCTGGCCAAATTTACCTTGGCCTTCCTCTCAATGCAAATTACCGATCAATCTCCTTCCAGGACCCCATCATTGAAAAGATTGAAATGAGACTACATAATTGGAAAAATTCACACATATCAAAAGGAGGTAGGCCCACTTTACATCAAGCAACTCTATCTAACCTCCCTATCTACTGCATGTCTCTAAACAACATGCCCACAAAGGTGATACAATCTATAGAAAGAATCTATAGAAACTTCCTTTGGAAAGGAGATGGGGGGAATATCAGGTTTGCATATCATTAAATGGAACAAAATTCTTCTCCCCAAGATGGAGGTCTGGGGCTAACAAGCCTTAGATACAAGAACAAAGTTCTTCTTGCAAAGTGAACTAGCGCATTACATCAGCAAAAAAGAGGCCGGCCCTGTGGAGGAAAACCATAGATGCAAAGTATGGTAACCCTACTTTTGATGACAAGCCAAATAATCATTCTCTTGCTACTACCAAGGGACCATGGAAATACATCTTAAAGCACCAATCTCCTGTCCACGAGCAACTCTCTAGAAAGATAGGGGATGGAAATGGCACATACTTTTGGAAAGATGTTTGGTTGTATGATGAAGCTTTGGCTCAAAGATACCCATTGCTTTTTGGTGTATCACAAAAAAACCAAAAAAAAAAAAGCTACAGTAAAAGAAGCGTGGGAGACAGATTCTGGAAATTGGAATTTGGGTTTTAGAAGAAACCTCAAAGATGTTGAAATATCAGAACGGGCAACCCTCTTGCATCAACTATCCAACATTCAGCTTTCTTCATCTCCTGATAAAAGGGTATGGATTTTGGAAAAAAATGGCATTTTCTCCACAAGATCTCTCCTCCAGGATATCTCTCCTAAAGGGGACTTTGCATTTCCCCCTCTTGTATGGTGCAATATGGAAAGATCACTGCCCCAAAGAAAATTAAATTTTTCCTTTGGGAGCTGAGCCACAAGGCTATCAATACCCAAGACAAGTTACAACACCAAATGTCCTACATGTATCTTTCCCCACAATGGTGTGTGATTTACAGAAAGAGTAAAGAGTCTCAGGATAATCTCTTCATAAATGCCATTATGCTTCATCCTTTTGGAACGAAATATTATCTTCCTTCAATTGGCATACAGTTCTTCCAAATGAAACATCCTCCCTACTACATGCTACTTTGTTGGGACATCCTTCAAAAGGGAGAAGAACCTACTATGGATGCATTTTATTACAGCCTTCTTTTGGGTTACATGGAGCAAAAAGAAAAAAAAAACCATCGGATATTCAAAGACAAGGAGCTCCCTTTCAATTGTTTTTTTTAAAACCATTGTTTATTTGGTTATATCTTGGTGTAAATGTTTCCCCTCTTTCATCATTATAGCTATTTTCACTATTTTCTAATTGGAGAGCCTTAATGTAACTCCATTGGATGAGGTTTTTCTCCTTTTTGTAAGTTCATACATCAGTGAAATAGTTTAATATCAAAAAAAAAAAGAGTGCAACAATAAGGTGACAGTAGCTAAACAAATCAGAGACCAGCTACTTACACCGGGAGTAGCATGATCTAGACTTTTTTCTGCCTTCTCAACTTCAGCTTTCAGCCTATCAATTTCAGCAACAAGTTCATTTTCCTTGTTCCATAACGACCTATATATTGATCAAAACATTGAGAAAAAGCTGGCAAACTGAACAATCAACTATGCTTTCCCAATGCAAATAATAGTGAACTTTCAAAAAATGGAAGTAAGGGAGACATACTTCCGCTCATCCTGAAGTTTGTCTCTCTGTGCTTTATAGGTATTGAACCCTTCAGATGACTCAGTTAGGTGGGACTCCAAAGTTGCAATGTCCATTCTACGGCTCTCAATATAGGCATCTCGCTCATGTAACTCAGCGTTAAGCTTATCAATTTCATCCTGAAGCTTTTGTTCCTATTGTCCAAGAAGAAATGAAATGGCTTGAAAGTTAAACACAATCCTTCAGTGTGGAGAGAATAAGGTAACTCGGAGATGGTCGATACACCAATCTCATTGAGCATATAAACATAAGGATCAAGCAACTAAAGATGTTGGAGAACAATAAAAACGACTTAATGGAAGAAGCACTGAACCATTTAAGAAAGAGCCATCACTAACTTTTAAAGAGATTATCAGGTTCATTTTAATTTATGATGAATGACTCAAAATAAATTAATATTTGTTCAAATTATCACGCTTGAGTCATTCATCAGTCACTATTAGAAGTGTTCATGTAAAAATAATCATAGCCATATATGTCAAGTTTAGCAAAAGTTTTCTGTACCCAGAAACCTCTCATCCTGTCAACGTTCACCAGATTTAAAACAGCAAAATAGTACCAAACTTCTAAGATCTGATAATCAAGAGAACGCTCACAAGTCACAAAGACTTAAAGTTCACGGAAGTGTTCACCGTGGGGTTTGAAACCATTAGCACTTGGTACCTGACCCTTGAGACTCAAGGAAATGGCACGCTTAAGCTTCAGCAAAGCAATAAAATGTAATTATCAGTTTCGAGGTTTTTGTAATTATCAGCTGGGTGTTATTCCTTTGGATTGGCCCCTTCTTATAGGCCAGTCCCTTTTCGTCAGGCTTGTTTTTTTAATACCTTTTGTATATTCTTTCATTTTATCCCAATGAAAGCTCAATTTCTATTGGAAAAAACTATCTCAATACACAAAGTAGTTCCAATTGTCAGTTTTATTGACACGTCTTATATGAAGCTATAAAATATATATTGAATTATTGACACAAATAACAGTGAAGGTTCTTTAGGAATACAGAATGGTAAATGTTACCTGTGCCATATTTGAAGATAACACTCGTTCATATTCATCAATCTCCTTCTGAAGCCATCTATCACGGGCAGCTTTACTTGAAAACTGGGTTGCACGACCTTGTTTCTGATAAAGAATACTAAGCTGCTTTTCCCGCTCCATTATTCTACAAAATTCATGAGATATTGCAAGGTGAGGCAACTTAGCTACACACAATGAATATGCACGTCTTGACTTAATGTATGAAACAGACAATGGCATGAACTAGAATTTAAAGTAGACAATGCAAGAACTA